ATTTGCTCATTACCCATAGCTTGTGACCACAGAGGAAGATAAAGATGTAGAGTGGTAAACCACAATCCCTCTGTAAAAACGTACCGAAAGCAGACCTTTACACCTCTTTACTAAAAACCACATCTGCAAGCAGCTCTGCATCGTGATTTAAAATCATCTTATATTAATTTGTTAAACTTGTTTTTCATTTACTTACAAATAGAGTTAATCTACTCCCTGGTCCAGTTCTCGCACAAATGATGCAACCTGTGCCCAAGCGTTGCATCCTGGGAAGGTTACATCGGCAGAGCAGTGCTGTGAAATCTCATCTGTAATCTCATGAGATCTCGGGGGAAAGGCATTTTCCTCCCCTGAGATGATGTGGATGGTCACATGTCCTAGTCACATGTGTCAGAGTTCAAGGAAGTAATAGGAGAGCTACTAATCTGCCCTTAATAAACATTGCCACTGTCAGAAGACTGGGGAAGAAAAGAGAAACAAGGTATGCAAAGAATACAAAGCCAGCAATGATCTAACTTTGTGTTTGTAGATTGTCATTACTAAACATTTCTAAAGGTGTGTTTGTCGTTATTTTAAAGATGTGGGTAAAGTTCCTGTTTAAAACTTCTCATCACACACACACATTTCCACAGAAGTGTGTATTAACAGAAAATAAGATGAAATTGTTCAAAATGATAAAGTGACGTAGTATTTAAAAGTAAGCTCTGTGAGCCATTTTAAACCCTGTGAGCATAAAACCATTAAAAGGAGAACTATGGGGTCAGGGCTTTTCCCCATAGTTCTCCTTAGGGTAACGGGAGGACACAAACTAGCGTCCTCCCGTCACCCTAAGCTCAGTATACCACGAGCTACAGCTTGCTGTATACTGAGATGCCGCAGCTGAAACGGATCCCGACAATTATGCCGGGATCCGCCCAGCTGCGTGAGTGACAGCTGGCTCTGCCTATTTATAGGCAGAGCCAACTGTACCCGCCCCGTCCGTTCTGCCAGTCAGCGCTGGAGGATCGGAGCGGGGATTCCAGCCCCTCCCCTGTCACGGCAGAGAGCCGTGAAAGGATCGAGAAGTGAGCAAACGCCGGTATGTGTTCGCTCACTTCTCGATCTACTGAGCCGACCTGTGACAGTCTCATTGTAACAGGTCGGCTAGAACTATGAGGTGAGTGAAAAGCACTCACCTCATAGTTCTCCTTTAAGACATTTATTAAGCTTTGTGCGCGTCCTTGATTTACCTTCACTTTACTAGTGACTTGCCTTCCATTCTATCTGGGCATAGCTCCACACACCTGCCTATAGCTTGTATGTAAGGGGGACCCCCAGTAACAAAGGTAAACTAAATCAGAGAGGTGCACAGGCGGGTTTTCTAACCAAGGTAACAGGCTACAGTGGTCCACAAAGTATCTTCTATCTCATATGACGTCCCCATTCAACTCTTTGGTTGTTTAAAGCACCAGCACAGCCAATGGGAGAGAAACAAGCACTGATCGGTTGTACACAAAACCACCACCAGCACAGAGATTTTGATGTGCTCTTTTTACAAAAGTTCCATTATCCTCTAAACACTAGGACTGATTTCATGGTTAAAGTAGGCAGACCTCGATCGCTAGAAATTGATCGGATGTTGCAGTCACAATATCTACAGAAGTAGGTAAGGTTCTTCAATACAGTTTACTAAAATCCATCCAATGTGTAGAGGTCACCTGTATACACCTGTATGTTATGCTTTTTT